TATTAGCCTGGCATAAAGTTAGTGTGCTATAGATGATTGGATAATGTATTTCTTATTGCTAATTATTTTTTTTAGTTTTGATATTTTAATGCCATTCTGAGCAATTAGTTGAATGAAATGTCTTAGAACTAATGAAGTTGAAATAGTCCATGATGGCTTATGGTTCTACCATAACTACCATCCACACCTCTTTCTTGCTTTTTTGTCTGACAGTGACCTAAGCAAAATCCTATTAAGTGTTAATGAAATGTGGGACATTATTAATGGGAAAAGTGAATGAATAAACCAAGTTATGTGTACTATTGATTAAGGTGTGATATTATGAATTACTTTTGTTGTAATTCTAGCCTTACAGAGTTCATTTTATTCTACATAGATCAAATGAAAGAGGGTTCAAGATGCTTGATGAAACTTTTTTTTCAGGTTTGTTGCTACTACTACAGCACTGTAATACTGTGGACATATATGAGTATATCCCTTCAATGAGATTAACAAAACGTTGCCACTACTATGATGTGCATGAAAACTTAGGATGTACATTAGGTGATTGGCACCCTTTAGCATCTGAGAAGCTACTTTCTTTAGCCATGAATGCTGCCTCAGACCTTCAGGTTTTTGTGAATGGAAAGATCAGTATAAAAGGTGATGTTAAGTGCTAGAAGTTTGAACAACCTGAATCTGTAAAGTTCTTGTTAAATTTTACTTATACAAAGAACATATTGTGTTAAACAATTTTCCTTAATTTCATCTCTGTCCTGCAATTTTTTTTTAAGAAAAGGAAGATAAAAAGAAAATTTTAAGAAAAATTAAGTCTCATTAGTTTACCATTAGACATGATATAGAAAAAAAAGCAGGTGATTTTGTAACTAGACAGGTAGTAATTGTAATCACATTATTATTGTACTCAAGGCATGTGACACACTGTACCCGAGATGTTTGTTCAGTCTTAACTATAAAGTTTACGTTAGGATTAGATCAGTTTTTTTTCTTTATGAATCATTGTTCTGATTGAGCTGTAATACAGAAAAATATAGTTTTGTTTGTTTATTGTTAAGCACAGAGGAAAACAATGGGCTATCTGTGCTGTGCCCACCATGGGTATCAAAACCTATTTTTTAATATTATAACAAACATATATAGGATGTTTGGTAGTAATGACCATTAGTATTAATAAAACCTACTACTAAATTAGCTGTGAATGTAAAATACAGTGGATTACACAAATATATTTAACACTTATTTGGCCTCAGAAATAATATTTAAGGAAAGCACTTCCCTATGGATTTCTGTAAGGATAGTACTTTTGTCTCTCTCACTCTTTTTACCTAGGCCTTTGTCTCATTGGTTTTGTGAAATGTCTCATCTACAAGTTTAACAGATTAACATGGATGATACTCATGTACGTTTAGCAATACCATGAAATTAAACTGCTGTTGTCCACAAACAGCATTTTGAAAATGTCAAACTTACTTTATGTCTTTCTTATACAATATTTAAGTATGAATTTCATGCAGCCAAAATGGTCCTCAAAATGTAGACTCATTGTGTTTTTAGTACTAAAATATCATACATACTTATGATAAGGTTCTTAGTTATTATAGTCTATTGCAAATATTCTCAAAATGTGGTATTTATAAATACTTTACCATTTAGATGTAAAATGTATCACCAGAATCAGTTTAATTAAACATTTCTTCTTGTAAGTTGTACATGCAAATATTACCTGTAATCATGTGATCATGGGTAACTTAAGTAATTTTGAAATAATATTACCCACTTACAAAATAATTTGCAGTTTTGTTTTTTTATGATTTGTTGAGGGTATTTTGTGTTTTTCTGTAGTCTTATAATGAGCATCAAAGTTAAAAAAATTTATGATCAGAAGGTAAAAGTTTTGTAAAACTATGATGTGTTTTACATTTATGATGCAACTGTGTTGTTAAAATAGAAAGTGCTGCAGTCTTAGTGACTGTCTGGTTTTAACTATTTAACTACAGTGACTAGGCAATTTCTTAAGTTTCTATATAATATTAGGTTGGATGACTTTTTGTTGTGATAATAGCCTGTACTCAGTATAGTTTATACTCTACAAGATACTAGAAGGTGTGTTGTGTAATGATATCCTAATTGCACAGCAGTATGGTCTAACATTTTTTCACAGGTGTTGACGGAGGTATACAATCTAAATATAATTTGCCTTTATTACAAATTTAAAAAACTTATCACTTGCAATATGAAAATTCCCCACACTGATTACCATTTCCAGCAGCTATAACCATTAGAAAAAGATGAACAGGGTTCTGCACTTCTTAGTTTTCTTCTTATTTGTACTCTGGTCATGTTCATACTCTGTCCACAGTTTGTATCAGTGAAGCTAGATCAGTGAACAGCTGCTAGAAGTCACAGATGTTTTTTAGTGGTATGTGCATTTCTTTCTGATATGGTACTTCCCTCTACTCACAAGATTTGGTATTCTTGTTCATTGCTGCCCTGTATATGCGAACTTTTTCTTTACGTATGCCACAAGCTCCCCCTATTAGAATCAAGTGATTCCAATGTGTCTCTCATGTAAATCATCATGCATCACCTCTCTGCCAATAGGAACATTAGTATACTCACCTGATGCATGTGACTCCCTCTATGCACCTCTACCAGACTATCACTTCTCGTTTGGCAGTGACTGTGTTCAGACGTGTTTCTTTTTTTTTTACTTGATTTAAACAGTTTGAGATACAGTTTCTTCTCGATGCTGTTATGATTTATAAACTACCCAATTTTATTTTGAATTACCTTAATTCTAACTCGTAGTCTTTTTTTATTATACATTTGCCTTTGTGTTGACTCTTGAAGAAAAACATGAATTCTGAAGTCAATGTCACCACTTCAGGTGTTACAATTATTATGTTACTTATTGAGAATTTGAAATAATCCAAAGCCGCATGAAATAATTTAACTTTTACTAGTTGAAACGTGCCCTGGATTTAGTGTTTAGAAATATTCCGATATTTTGTTTAATTTACACTATTTGCCAACAAGATTGATTCACACCATTTTTGGGTTTAACACAAATAAGCCTTAATATATGTATATATATATATGCAACAGTATAATTTACAATAGCAACTATTATGATTAATTATTATAAGTCAAGTTTCATAAACAGAAATTTCAATAACTTATAAATAGCCTAAAATAATCTTCCTAGTTTAAAGTCTTTTTGATATCCAGCGAGTCAGCTTAAAGTCGATGTACATACAATTGGCGGGAAGCTAGCTAGCTTTGTCAGGCACTGAATTGTTGGACTGTTGAAGTGAGATAATGTTTTCGTAAAACCACTAATGTCCGATGAGAAATTAGTAATATTCTTGGAAAGATATTAATGTTTGATGAAAATTCACTGACGTTCAAAATTTATAACTGTTCCAGGTCAAATGTTGTATATTTTCCGGTTTATAAGGGTTAGCAAAATCACAGTTTATAGCTTACATGGTTATAACAGTTTCATAGTAGACTTGTCTCTTCTCTGTTTGTTGGTGCATCACTTTTTATAGGCACTATATTTAACCGGATACAGAAATGGATGTATTGTTGATTCTTGTGTTCACGAATATTCTACAATCTTGGAGAATTGGCGGGAGTTTTGCCATACGTAACTAACACGGTAAGCTAGACACGTCCTCAAATATAAACTTATTCGCAACAAACGTTGACATTAAAATAAATATATCGCAAATTCTTTATACGCAACACATATCTGATAATACAAGTTGTGCCTATTTCTAAATACAAATTCAATCCAAACAACGTTCATATTAAAAATAAATACATAATAATAAATTCGTTACACAATTTAGACAGGCACTTTATCTCAGGCCTCAGATGCGGGTGACCTGATGAGAGATTTATCAATGTTTATTCGCAGGGAGATTGAACGTTACATGGGTCAACCTCTATCTCCTAACAATGCCCCTTTTCCTCCTGAACATGTTGAACCTGCTCAAGCTGACGAGAACCTCGATCACTTATTTCCACTTCTTGAATTTACCATACCTTTCCTGAGGATTCAGTTCGGCATTTCAGGGTTTTTAGACTTTATCTCTCAATTATGTGACTATCTCCTGAATTGCCCCACTTCCTCCTGAACATGTTGAACCTGTTCAAGCTGAAGAGAACTTTGATCCCTTGTTTCCACCTCTTGAATTTACCATGCCTTCCCATACCTTTCCTGAGGATTCAGTTCGGCCTTTCACGGTTTTTGGAATTTATCTCTCAATTATGTGATGTTTTATCCATCGCCCGTATTTCTTATGACCCATGCCCTTCCTTACTGCGTGAACATTCTTTCCAATCCTATTTGGTTTGTCTCTCCTCCCCTGACAATTGGGTCCATGCTGAACAATTTGTCCCTCAGTTAAATGAAGGCGTTAGCATGCCTCATCCCCCCACAGGCTTCGGATCAGTCTGCCCTTGCTTCTCATTGTGCAGACTGTCCTTATCTTCACCACCAACTGTTGGGTTCTGTTTTACTCGTTTGGGGGCTCAGCCATGAATCTCCTGTCAGTTTAACCCATGCCCAATTTTCCCACCTACATCTTACCCTCATGACTCTTTTACTGTATCTTTCCCCTATTAATCTCCTATCTGAGGCTCTTCACAGAAATCCTGAGGGGTTTTCTGGGGACATCTCCCACCTTACCTCCACATTGGATCGTTTATTGTCTTTGGCTATGGCTTTACATACATGGTTTCTCTGTTGTTGATATCTTCTGGGCTAGGATGCTGTCTTATCGAGGGCCTGTTTACCTACATTTTATCTCCAGGATTCATGTATGGCCCTGTTTTTATGGTGTTTTGTCTTTGATACGATCCCGGAGTCTTTAGAATCTTGGGTGACATCAGTTCAACAACAGTCTACCTTTTCCTATCTGGTAGCCTGTTTGTCTCAGTTAAAGCCAAGTGTGGCACCCGTTATGGTTCCCCATCCTTCCCAACCCTTACCTGTGTTCCTTCTCGAGGTACCACAGCTTGTCATTTTCCTGTACAATGCACATCATATTGCCAACAGTAGTAGTGACTATCCTGTGGGCTCTGGTCCAGTGGGAACTCGACTTGTGGCCCATCTCTATCAATGGCACCTTTCATTAACGATGTTGGGGTTCTTCAAGTTTGTTGGAAGGATTTGAGATCCCATTTCTTGCCATGCCTCCCTTATCTCCTATACCTGTTTCCTTCCCTCCACTTCGGTATCCTGTTGTTTGTCAGCGTCTGTCAAAGGCGGTTTAGGACTTCCTCACTCAACGGGCTATTGAACCTGTTCCACATCATTCATCAGGTTTTAACTCCCGAATATTTGTTGTTCCAAAGAAAACCAGGGACTGGAGGCCTGTCATCAATTTGTCCCACCTCAATCACTTTGTTCACCTTCCCTGTTTCACTATGGAGTCTTATCTCACCCTCTGGTGGGCATTTTCTCCAGGTTTATAGATGACCAAGATGGACATTGCCAATTATTACCTGCATATTCCAGTCTCGGTACAGTCTCATCCATATCTTCAGTTTGTCCATCATGGGGTGGTGTATCAGTTTTATGCCCTACCCTTCGTGTTTGCTTCTGCACCTTATGTTTTCTGTCGGGTGTTCAGGGCTTTTGCTCTTCATCTTCATGCCCTGGGGCTGCATTCCCATTATTATATGGAGGAATGGTTTCTTCTAGCCCATTATGAACTAGAATTGGCCAGTCATACTCATGGGCTGGTTAATCAAATTGGTGAAGTCCTACCTCCATCCTACCCAATATCTTGTCCATTTAGGTTTCTTTTTCAACTCTCACCTCAGTCGGGCCCAACCTTCTTCTCTCTGACTTCATTCCATGGAATTGTTAGTTCACCATGCTCTGTCTGCTCCCTCACTTTCTGCATGCGAGGTTCTATCACTTTTGGGGGATGTTGTCTTTCATGATACCACTGGTCCTTCTAGGTCATGCACATGTGCATTTCCTATAGTGGACTCTGCACGAACAATGGAATCTTGGCTGCTCCTTTTACACTTC